AAATATGGGAAAGTAGCACACACAGCTCTCTCCTGCACACACAGCCTTGCCGACATTATCTCGCCACATCATGATGTTCCCTACCCTCAAGGTCCTTTCACAAGCAGGCAGGTTTCATTCCAAGGAGCAAGAACAAACACGCTGTGAGGTTGGCCAATCCACGGAGGGAAAGCATCATTTCATCACGTGGCCATGGCAGAACTCGGCCTCGGGCCTGCCTGAGTGCTTGCTCACAGGTCTACTTTCTCCTCACCTTTCACCTACCAGTGTTCTGCCTCTAAGCAACTGCCGCAGAGTGCCAAGCTTGATGACACATGCCTGTCAAGGCTCCAGGATGAGGCAGGAAAAACAGAGAGTCAAGTGAGACCCTGCCTAAAAACCCAAGGGGGGAACTGAGCCGTACATGCCTTTAATCCCAGCACTCCAGAGGCAGAGCCAAGTGCATGAGGGTGAAGCTAGCCTAGTCTAAGCAGCCGAGTTCCAGAACAACCAGGGCTGCAGTGAGACCCTGCATAAGAGGGACACCAGTGGTTTCTATGGTACTTAGCGATTCAGATCCCAGAATCCACGGAACACCTCAGACACTAACACTAGGTCACAACGGGGAGAGAAATGGTGCTGGGTATTGCTGGCCTTCGACCCAGCTCCAGGTTCACGTTCCTGCCTCAAAACTTAAGCCCAGAATGAAAAGTGTACCCAACACCCTCCTCTGGCCTCTGCACAAGTCCACACATTCACAAGTGGTACATAACCAAACATACACAGATAATGATCATGATGATAGTTTTTTTTTAATCAAGGCCTATGGATGCAGCTCAGTGGTACAGCACTTTTTCAGAGAGACCCTGGGTTCCAATATCTAACATTTATATATATATATATATATATATATATATTTTTTTTTTTTTTAAATGCCTCTTGACAAAAACTCTTTCAGAATTTTCATACTGAATCCTTGCAGAGAGCTGGCCAAACAGGAAATTTGCCTGAGGCATGCTACTAAGCTGGTCTAGAATGATCTGCAAGGTGGATACCAAGCTACCTTTATAGCCTATATGGTGAGTCTCACCATTCCATGAGCTTAAGGTCAGCCTGGCTACAGAAGATCTCTCCCAACGGACTGACTCTCGTGAGATTTACAGGCACAGTAGCTGGCACCATCTCCAATGTCTCCAGTAGCAAGACACTAATAAAATAAAGTTAAATAATCTAAACCGGCCTAGGATAAGCAGTTCTCATCACCAATCCCAAGGCCAACCTGTTCTACAAGTTTCACCTCAACTAGGCCTAGGCCTTTGAAGGTATTCTTTCCTGCTAGATAAGCAATGAGCTGTGCTTGGTAAGATAAGAAGCTTATCAAGAAGTCACCCTCTCTACTCCAGGTGGGACCTCCGAGACACTAACTGGCCATGTGACCATGAGGACGGCCTAAACTTGTCTGAGCATGACGTTTTTCAGGGTTGTTTGCCTGCATTATGTGCATCTAGCTAATGCAATGCCCATGGGACAGAGAAGGCGCTGGGGCCCTGAAACTGCTGTTAAAGGTGGGTCAGACACAATGTGGAGTTGGGTACTGAACCTGGGTCTTCCGGATCCATCTCTCCAGCCCCTGAGCACCAAGTCTGTCCATCACATCAACTCACCTTCAGGCTGGAGGTGCAGCTTGGAGTTCAAAAACCTTAACTGTTGTCATAGTCACTGAGGTGGCTGCCTACGGGCAGGAAGTCCTTCTCTTTCTTAAGATACTGTGTATTCTGGAAATTGGTTCTCTCCTGCCAGAGTTGGGGTTTAGGAACCAAATTCAGACAGGCCTTCAGAAAAGCACCTCTACTGACTCTAAGTCTTTTGAGGGAGGAAGGCCTCCCAGTGGACTTAGAGGCTACCTGAGGACAAAGAATGCACTCAGTCCTTCAAAAGTATCTATTAATTTTATTTTTTAAATTACATTTTTAGTCAGCACTTTGGAAGACAGCGGGCAATCTCTGAGTTCAAAGCCAGACTGGTCTACAAGGCAAATCCCAGGCCAGTCAATCAGAGCTACACATCGAGATTCTGTGTATGTGTGTGGAAGTCAGCGTTGTCCCTCTTTTTTCAAGATGTGAGTTCCAGGAATTAAACTCAAGACTTCAGGCGCTGTAGCAGACTCCTTTACCCACTGAGCTATCTCTCCAGGGTGGCTTAGAACTCACAAGTAGCCAAGGATGACACTGAACATTTTTTTTTTAAGATTTATTCATGGGCTGGAGAGATGGCTCAAAGGTTAAGAGTGCTGGCTGCTCTTCCTAGAGGTCCTGAGTTCAATTCCCAGCAACCACAAGGTGGCTCACAACCATCTATAATGAGATCTGGTGCCCTCTTCTGGCCTGCAGGTATACATGCAGACAGAATACTGTATACATAATAAATAAATCTTAAAGAAAAAGATTTATTCATTTATTATTTATACAGAATTCTGCCGACATGTGAGCCTGTACACCAGAAAAGGGCAGCAGATCTCAATATGGCCAGTTCTGAGCCACCATGTGGGTGCTGGGAATTGAACTCAGGGCCATTGGAAGAACAGTCAGTGCTCTTCTGAGCCATCTGTCCAGGCTGACTCTGACTTCTAATGGCACCACCTTCACCTCTGAGTACTGGGATCACAAGCATGAAGCACTGCACCTGGCTTTATGCAGTGCTGGGGATGGAACTTGGGGTCTCCTGCACACGAGTCAAAACCTCCAGAAATCTATGTTTTCATGTGTAAAACTGACACTTTTTCCCAAGATCTTAGCTGTGAAAGCATCTCTTCCATTTTCAGTGGTCTGTGCCAACAGCTCTGCAAACTGGGCTAGAAGACAGTAGATGTTTCTACCCCAAAACTATGGCTTCAGTGGGTACTGGACACATGTAAACAAAGAATAACAAAAAACACTGGAATATTTTTTTTTCCTCCAAGGTCATATTGGTTTGGTTTTTTTGTCTCTTTGTTTTTGTTTGTTCTTTGGTCTACTTCATTTGGTTTGGATTTTTGAGACAGGCTCTCTAGGCCAGGATGGCATCAAAGTCACTACGTAGTTAAAGATAACCTTGAACCCCTGGCCTGGTTTTCTTCAGTGCCAGGGATCCCACCCAGGGCTTGAAGCACATTAGGAAAGTTCCCTATGAAATGAGGCACACCCCTATTCTCCAGTTTGGCTCTTGTCTGCTTTTGTGGTGCAAGGCTGAGATAGACCCCAGAGCCTCATGTCTGCATGCTAAGCAGGTACTCTGGCGCTGGGACTACCACAGTCTATCCGAGACACCCTGACAAGTGAGGCAAAGAAAAGACTGAAGTACATGAGATCATGTTTCCCAGGCCAAACCATGAGCCTTGAGGCTGTGCTCAGGTTGCTAGAACCAAAGCACCCACCCCCTTAGTCTGCAGAAGCCTACCAGGCCTGATTTTCAACTAGAAAATTAAAATGACTGACTGAAAATTCTATCTTCCACCTATACTTTTCAAACTAAACATGGCTTTTCCCCCAGGACAAGACAAGGTGTGAAAGGGGAAAGCATAGCAGGAAAAAACTTTCTATTGAAGCACAGGCTGAACAGGGAATAAGGAGGACAGAACCTCCTGGTTCTTGGCACCATGTTAAAAAAGACAGAGGATTTCTAGATTAACGGTTTCAAGGGACCTGGGAAATAGTACCAAAAACAACTACAACCCAGAAGAGGAAGAGTAGTAGTAGTAATCAATTTGCTAATTGATTATTATTGATTATTGATTATTTAAAAATAAAATTATCTCTTATGTACTGGAGATTCCTAAAGAATTCCAATTTCCATAGTCAAGTGGCAGTTGCCATGGGCTGGGAGAATAGGAAATAGGGAGATGCTGTATAATAGTGTAGAGTTTCAGTTTACAAAATCAAAGAGTTTGAGGGTGTTTGCCTAGCAGGAGCAAGGCCAGACCTCCATCCTTAGCACTGCAAATTGATTAAAGGGAGCAGTAGAGATGCAGAAAAGGAAAAAAAAAAAACTAACCTCACTCTAATCTTTAAAAAAAAAGTTACGGAGATGGATAACAGTGAAATTTGCACAATATGAATAGACCGTACACTGAAAATGGCTATCATGGAAATTTTGGCAAATTTCATCACAAATTTAAAATTTGGGAAAAAATACAAGCAATCTCTCAACTTGCTATGGAACTGCATGTCTAGTGGTTAGAAACTATGTCTTTGAGATCTGCAATGCTCTGTTCTGCATTTACTGGCTGGGACCTTTGCACAACCCCTCCTGACATCTCTGACTTTCACCTACATAATCAGTTCGTGATTAAGTATCCCATCTTAGCAGAGATGAGTTTGAGGAAAGATAACAAAATCTCAGTAATACGGTAGTAAGCCCTACTAACATATTATTACTATGACTGTCAGCAATCGGATACTGTTTTGTTACTTAAAAGTCGACAGTAACGAAATTAATGTCATCAGTTAGCTGGAGAAGAGCATTAGAAGACTATGAGGAAAAGTGACCCAAGATAGTCAGAAGACTTGAGCTTCCAGAATGATCTTGTGCGTTCTGATTTCTTCCCTGGAGGTCACCGTGGACTGGCGTGACCGTGGAACCAACACCTTCACCGCTTAGCATCTAGAGCGGGCAATGGATGAGAGGGTCGGAGGAGGCAGGCTGGCTGCAGAGCCCCTTCCTTAGCCCAAGGCGCTGTCACCGTGCAAAGTTCGTGCAAGAAATGCTCACACCAACAAGTGCTGTGCATTCTTCCTGAACACCTGCCACTAGGGCACCAAGGATGCTGCAAGGAAGCTGAAAGCTTCTCCTAGGCCCTGCAACACCCTAAGAAAAGGGAACCCATAAGGCCTGGGTAGCAGATTTATAAAACCACCTGCACATGCGCATTGGGATTACACTGCGCCTGCGCCATCGGAGGAGAGCCGGACCTTGAAAGAGGGTCCAAAGGCCCTACAGGGGACTGCGGTCTGCATCGGCCATAGCCCAAACCCTACGCTGCTTACCTCGTAGTGCTTCATGGTTCCTCCACAGGATGTCACCCGCTCAGCTGCAGCTCAGTGGCCGCCCTGACCCACTAACCACAGCCCAAGCCCACACGCTGGGAGCCAGGCTCCACTGGCTCCACTGGCTCCAGCTCCGCCCCTCTCTACGCATGCGCCCCTCTGGCCAATCAGCGTGGGGTGCACCCCCCCCCCCCCCCCGCGCCACACGACTGACCAATCAGCTCTCGAGAGTCTACAGACGCGGGGACACCCCCCCCTCCTCCGGACCTGGGCAGTCAAGATTAAACAGGGCCACCTACCCAATCGAAGGGGAGCCTTGGCGCCGCGCGCCCTCTGGCCCCGCCCCTTGCAGTGTCGCGGTTGAAATCCGGCAAAACCAGGCTGAGGTCAACGCAGCAGGGCCAGAGCACAGCTTTGAGTGAACGGGAGGGCCGAGATCACACGGCGGCCAGCGCTTCGGGGTGACCTCGAAGATGCAGAGTGGCTAAGTCGCCTAAGAGTTGGCACCTCAGAGATCACTACCAGGACCCTTGAAAGGGCTCCATATACCATGAAAAGAAAGCCTGCGCCGCAGTCTGCACTGTCTTCACTGTCCCTGTCCGCCCAGCTGGCCCTAGAAGCAAAACCACGTTTGTCTCTGCCTGTGAGATCGTGTATGGTTACCACTAGCTACATGTAGCTGCTGAGTTCTTGAAGTATACTGGAAAAAAGAAAAATGGCAAGTGCTGCTAATCTAAAATTACATGCCATCAGAGAATAGTGCAGAGAGCAAACGGCATGGCATACCTGATAAGACACTTCCTGCCCAGCCCAGTGAGCCCAGGGACCCACATAATTAAGGCCAGAACAAATCCTAGCAAGTTATCTTCTAACTTCCAACAAGCACTACGGTACATGTGAAACCACACACATACATACACACTCATAAATAAATATAGTTTTAGAAGTATAGTGCAGCCAGATGTGACGGCATACACCTTCAGTCCCAGGTGTCAGGAGTCAGGGACAAGCAATTCCTTTAAGTTCCAGCCTTCGTGTACATAGCCAGTTCCAGGACAGCCAGGGATACATAAAGAGACCCTGTCTCAAAAAAAAAAAAAAAAATCAATAAATAAATTTTAAAAAGATTATATAGTTCAGGGTTGAGGATGTGGTCATTTGGTACAGTACCTGTCTAGCTTGCAAAAGCCTCTATCCATCCTCAGGACCATAGACACACAGTATATGTTAAGAAGAAGAAAAAATTGTCACCTTTCTTCCTGGTAGAACACTACAATGACATAGTGTGTTAAAATGTATTATTAAAATTAAGTTTCCCTGGTCATTTTTGTTATGGTTCTATATACAGGGTTTCTAAATACAGGATTTCTATATATACAGGTACTAAATACAGGGTTTCCATGTCACACCCCAGAGTCCTTGGGGCTGAGGGTGGGTTTTTATTCGTTCGTTTTTGTTTTTCGAGACAGGATTTATCTGTGTAGCCCTGGCTGTCCTGTAGCTTTGTAGACCAGACTCACAGAAATCCACCAGCTTCCGCCTCCAGAATGCTGAAATTAAAGGCATGTGCCACTACAGCCCAGCAGAGGGTGGTATTTGGGGGGGGGGGGGGCTTGTTTGTTTGATAGGTTGATTTTGATTTGGTTTGGGGTTTGTGTTGTGAGTTACCAGAGTTGATCAAAGAAAGTCACTCCAGGATGAATTAAGGCTCTGCCGGCACAGAGAGATCCAGCCTCTGTGGACAGAATCTCAAACAGCCGTGCAAAAGCATATTTATTGATTATGCAAATGTTGGGGGGTTTTTTTGGGTGAAACAAGTTCCACATAGCAAAGCCCCTAATCTAATCTATATGTTTACTGAAGGAAAGCATCACCCCTGCAACTTTAGTTCTTACTGTGCACTGTTTGCAGTACCCAATAATGCAAGACATTCCAGGTGTGCCAGGGCTGGCTGTGACCAAAGTCATGCAAAGACTGTAAAGTGCCTTCAGAAAAATAACTCTTTAGATAATAGAAAACAATCACTGTTTTCTACAATGATTTTTTTTTAAGATTTATTTATTATGTACACAATGTTCTGTCTGCATGTCCACCAGAAGAGGGCATCAGATCTCATTACAGATGGTAATGAGCCACCATATGGTTACTGGGAATTGAACTCAAGACCTCTGGAAGAGCAACCAATACTCTTAACCTCTGAGCCATCTCTCCAGCCCCTACAATTTCTTCAAGGTCAAAGTATTTATAAAAAACAACTATTTATTGTAATGTCTACTCTACTGAAAAACAACTATTTCATTCTAATACTATCTTAATATAATAATTCTACTAGAATTCCTACCATAGTTTAGGGGTTTTTATATTTTTTATCATGTTTTAGTGTGTATCTGTACACTTATGCAAAGGTATGAGCACCTGTGTAGGAAGAGAACCTACAGAAGCTGTTTCTGTTCTTCCTTCTTGAAGACCTGGGGGGTTGTTGTGCACCCATTTCTCTAAGATATAACATGTTCCATCTTTTAGAAAACCTCATTAAGACACGGGCATGGTGGCACACATATTTATCTCAGCATTTGGGAGGAAAGAGCAAGCAGATCTGAGTGGGTTCAATGACAGCCTGATCTACATAGTGAGTTCCAGTACAGTCAGGGATATGTAGAGAGACCTTGTCTAAAAAAAAAAAAGACACCAGATGTTTTAAAAATTTAGATTTTTGTTGTTCTGCTTTTGAGACAAGTTTTCTTTATATAACAGCCTTGGCTGTCCTGGAATTTGCTTTGTTAGACCAGGCTGGCCTCGAACTCACAGGGATCAGCCTGCATCTCCCTCTCGCATGTTGGGACTAAGGGCCTATGACACCACTGCTCCGCAAAAATTTATATATTTAATTTTATATATATGAGTGTCTTGGCTGCATGTATGTATGTCTATATGTGCCTGGTGCCAGGGATGCCAGAAGCCTAGGGTGAAAACCAGAAGTGGGTGTGGTGTCAAATCCATCCCTCCAACCCGAAAGACACAGGATGCTAAAATGGGAGGTGAAGTCCTCCTCCTTCAAATGAGTTCCTTAAGCTCAGGAAGTAAATACACAATAGCTTCAGAAAGTTCCTAAAACTGATCAGATTCACTAGACTGCTCCCCTACCCCCCAATCATATATAAGCACTAGACTGCTGAGAAGTATCCTCTGACCATTGGGGCTGCCTGAAAAAGGCAAATCAGCCAAGCCATCTACAGAGTGGAGACCAACCTAGTAATCTTCTGTCTTCCCTCCACAGCTTTTGCATCAGTTCTGCTTTGAATTCCTGCCCTGATTTCCCACTGTGATAAAGTATGGCCTGAGAGCTGTAAGATAAAAAATTAACCCTTTCCTCCCCAAGTTGCTTTTAGTGGTGGCATTTTATCACAGCAATAGAAACACTTAAAGTGGAAATTAAAGACAAAATCATATGAATATGCAGAAAAATCATTCGACAAAAATTCAACATGCCTTCATAGCAAAAGTCTTTAGAAAGAGTAGGTCTGAAGGGGTTATGCCTCAACATAATAAAGGCTATCTATGACAAACCCAGTGCCAACATCACCATAAATGGAGATAAGCTTGAAGCAATCTTACTGAAATCAGGAATCAGGCAGGACTGTCCACCATCCTCCATTCCTTTCAATATTGTGCTCAAAGCACTAGCTGGAGCAATAAAGCAAAGAAAAAAATTAAAGGAATACAACAGAAAGAACTCCAATTCTCCCTATTTGCAAGTGATATACATTAGAGATCCCAAATATTCTACCAGAAGCAACCAACAATTTCAGAAAGATGTGCACTGGCTAGTTTTATGTCAACCTGACACAAGCTAGAGTCATCTGAGAGGAGGGACCCTCAACTGAGAAAATGCCTCCATAAAACTGGGCTGTAGGTTAGCCTGTGGGACATTTCCTTAATTGTGTCTGATACAGGAGCACCAGCTCATTGTGAGTGGTGTCACCCTGGGCTGGTGGTCCTGGTTCTATAAGAAGGCAAACTGAGCAAGTCATGGGGAGCAAGCCAGTCAACAGCATTCCTTCATTGCCTCTGCATCAGCTCTTGTCTCCATGTTCCAGCCCTGCTTGAGTTCCTGTCCTGACTTTCTTCATTAATAGACTATGTTGTGCTGGTGTAAGCCAAATAAACCCTTTCCTCCTGTGGTGGTTTGAATAAGTATGGCCCCGATAGGGTCATAGATTTGAATGCTTGGTCACCAGGGAGTGGCACTATTTGAAAGGATTACAAGGTGTGGCCTTGTTGGGGTAGGTGTGTCACTGTGGGCTCTGAGATTTCAAGAGCCCAAGCCAGGCCCAGCAGCTCTCTTCCTGCTGCCTGTGGACCCAGATGGAGAACTCTTAGCTTCCATGTCTGCTCCCCGACAAGAAGATAATGGACTAAACATCTGAAACCATAAACGAACCCCAATTAAATGTTTTCTTTTAAATGAGTTGCCATGGTCACATGTCTGTTAACAGCAATAGAACACTGACTAGGACAACTTCCCAACTTGCTTTTGATCATGGTGTTCCATTATAGCAACTGTAACCCTAAATAGATAAGGGGCAGTGCACAAAATCAGTAGCCTTCCTTCGCATACACCAACAATAAAGACACTGAAAACAATACCGTGGGCGTACTCCCATTCTCAATAGCCTCAAAGAAAAGAAAATAACTAGGAATAAACTTAGCCAAGGAAGCAAAAGACCTTTACAGCAAAAACTTTAAAATCACTGAAGAAGCAGATTCGGGAAGACCATTCCAGATTTCAAGATATGTTGTAGATATACTATGACACTGGCATAAAAAAACAATCGTGGGGAAGCTGGAGAGATACCTCAGCAGTTAAGGGCCCTGGCTGCTCTTCCAGAGGAGCCTGGTTCAATTTCCAGCATCCACATGGGAGCTCACAACTGTCTATAATTCCAGTTCCAGGAGACCTGGCACTCTCACACAGACATACATCCACACAGAACACCAATGTACATAAAATAAAAATAAATATTTTTTAACAAATCATGAAGACTGGTGGAACAAAATAGAAGACCCAAACATGAGTGCACAGCCATCTAATATATGAAAAAGATGCCAAAAAAATACACTGAAAAAAGTAGCATTTTCTTTTGTTGTTG